AAGCTAGATTTTAATCCTTTTTTACCGCCAAAAAGTCCGCGCTTTTCGCTACTAGGGGGCTATAACATATTGCCTAGTTGAAGCTCAACCAATCAGAACGCAGCATTGATAATAGACCACTCGTTGGATTTTACTAATTAATTTTAGTCTGATTTTAGATGGACGTTTAGTCTTGCGCAGAAGTGTTGTTGGTCCCTCAGCATCAGCTCAGTTTCTAACAATATGTTTTATTAATTTTACTGAGGTAGAGATGATTGCATTTGTTCGCTCAATATGACTAATATTACAACTACAGTATTTACTCGAATACAGCGCCCAGCTGGAGCAAAAAAAAAATAAGCGCCGCGGCCCTAATGCAATCAAAATCAATAGACGTTTCTGTCAGTTACTGAAGAATGAATAATAATACCGTTAACCATGAAAGAAGCTGTGGCGCCCAACGTTCAAATAAAAGCCATCCTCGAACAAGCGCTTTGTTTAAGGCGTGAACAAATTTAACAAGCACCACAATGTTCATTCGAGCTACTTAAACCTTGATAACATTCCCCAATTTACATTCACCCTTCCTCATATTATACCCACTGTTTTAGTAAATACCGTAAAATTCCGAAAATAAGCCCCTGGGCTTATATTTTTCAAAAGCCCTTTCTGAGGGGCTTATTTTTGGAGGGGCTTATATTCGCAGGGGCTTATCTACGGAGGGAAATTTGCGTTTCAAAATCGATTGGGCTAGCCTTATAGTTGGAAGTAAATTTACCGTTTTTGGTTTGTTTTACTTTGTATTCGAGGGCAATTTTCCAAGTGCAAGCCCCCGTGGGACTTATATTTGCAGGGGCGATTTAACGGAGGGTATTTTGCGTTACCGGTTTGGGGGGCTTATATTTGGAGGGGCTTATACATGGAGAGGCTTATTTTCGGAATTTTACGGTATTTGTTAACCTGAGACAATCCCATACTTAACACCTCAAATGCCGTACAAATCCCCACTTAAATCTCATGTTTATTGGGCGTTCTCGTCCACTGTGCTTCTCCAAGGCGTCCAAATGCCATCCTTCCGCGCAACATCCCAAGCCTGACTGTCCGCAGGCTTGTTTAGAGGGGATACGGCGCTACGTTTGTAAAACTCCAGTCTCTCTTGCAATTTTTGGACGACGTCAGGCAACGTTTGGCTCAAATCATTGTGTTCTGTAGGATCAGCTGTGATATTGTAAAGAGCAACTTCAATAAAACCTTTCACTTGAGAATTCTGAAAATGGTAAAAAGAGATAACTACTTCCATTAAATTTTGGCGACATGTTTACTTCGCAATTTTGATGTGCGCATATTTCGCGATACTTAAATTTCGCGATTTTCTGAAAATTTTATATTTTGAATCACTTTAATTTCGCATTTTTGAGTACAACAATTTACATTTTATAGGCAATGTTATTTAACATCTCCTTGAATTAAATATAATTACTTCATCAAAGGAACAATAACGTCAAAAGTAAGAAAAGCGCAACAGCGAGACTAGTGTCAACAGTAACAACAAAGCAGTTCTCACAATGTTCACAAGCAGTTCATGCTTGTACGTGAATTATCGTTCTTGAGTCAATTGACTACAACATCCACTTACACTGAAAATTCCTCAGAAAAATAAAATGTGATCTTGTAAACGTTTCAGTGGTAATAAACTCGTTCTTTCTTAATTATGGACATAATGTCAGTCACTTAATTTTCGCGTCATGTTATGTTTGCGACACTTATTGTTCGCGTCACTTTAATTTCGCGATTTTTTGTATCGCGAAATTCGCGAAATTGACTTGTCGCGAAAATTTCATGTAATAAGGTACTCGTCCTTTGTCAACATTAGAACAAAGCACAAAAACGGCAATACACGGACTAGTTGCCACCGTACGTTGACACCGGATGTTACTAAAACGGGGAGCGGGGCCTAAACGAGCACGAAGAAGGGGAAATTGAAAAATCGGAACAAATCAGAGAATATGAAATGAAGTTATTGATAGGGCCAGGGTTCAAGGCTAGGGTTTTGTTTCAATGTTTCATTTCGTTCCTCGTGATCGTTCCCCGCTCCCCGTTTCCCATTTCCCGTTCCCCGTTCCCCGCTCCACGTTCCCCGTTTTAGTGACATCCGTTGTCCCCTAACTCAAGGCAAAACAACAGAGTTTCAATTGTTGGAGATTTATCAACTTTTTTTAACCCGTGCATGGCAACGAAAACTTCACACCACTACCTAGAGGGCCTCTTACTTTTTAACGAGAATAACGTTTTCCTTTTTTCTCTGTTTCTTTCCTTTCTCTCTGTTTATGACCATAAAATAGGTTCGCCCTCGACATCGCTGATCCTTTCGTTATGCATGATACAGTAAAAACTCGCAAGTAAGCACCCAGTAATTGGCTTTGGGCTTCATGAATCTCTTCGAAGCTAAGTGGATAGAGCGTTCACCCAGTGTTTGGGAAGTTATGAATTCGATTTGTGTAGGGAATCGAGAGTATGTTCATCAAAAATATTCATAAAAGACCTTTAGTTACTGACCGTTTCTTTGTTACAAAGTTCTGGTGGCTTGAACCAAGAGGTATTCGGACAGCTGACCAACAGCTTCATATCTGCAACACGGATTGCCGCGCCCTCATAATAGCCTCGGTAACGCTTCTTCTTTGGTGCTAAGTCGATGTTTAGGAGTATTTCAGTTCTTGGAGATGGCTTGCCTGCAGAAATTGTCTCCCATACATCAAAGCCGTCTACTGGTACAGGATTATTATCGACTTTTCCTCCTGAAAGAATCAAGGTCTTGATTATGTCTTATGTACGATAAAACTGGATTTACAATATTTTCGTATTTTGTCCTGTTACATCGATGATAGTTAGCGTACGATCATACCCTTTCTACATCTTGAATATATAGATTTAGCGAAGGCCAAAAGTAAAGCACTCGTGGGAACTTTCTAAAATAAAGTTTTTCTGAAGACTTTCTGTGATCACTTGTTTACCATAACTGGTCAGCGGAGAACTTAAAAAACACGTCACCTCAATGAGTTGTACACCCGAGCGCGCATTACAGTCATGTGACACTGGTCGCCGGATGCCCTATTTTGACAGATGTCAATTGATCATAACATGATTTTCCAATATCAAGTTAAACACAATTTGTACATACCTTGGAATAAAAATTAAGATATTTCACAAACCGCTATCATGAGGGAGCGACGTATGTACAAACGGACGATTTTGTCAGAAACAAAACTGGATGCATGGATAACCAAATTTTCTTATTCATTGTGTTCCGCTGCGCGCATCGAGAGCTCCACTATTTAATTGTCTTCCTTGGGCAAACAAAAACGCCTGATCGTTGGTTGGAGGATAGTAAATGTATATTTTTTGAAGTGGTCAAAGGTTTGAACCCAGCAAAAGTAGGTTGAGATTGACCGTCCGGGTGAACGTAGTCCTGAAAAGGACTGTTTTTGTCCACAGTGACTGACGTTTCGACAACCTGTGCGGTAGTCATCTTCAGAGTCAAAGTGAGTTGTGTCACGTCAGTTGATGATATTATACTCTGGTTATCGATCTGGTTGGTCAATTACGTCGCGATGTTATTGGTCGCCTGTCAGTTAAGCTTTGATGTTATTGGCTATAAAGACCCGTAATCAGTAATTAAACAGTCGTTTATTGTTAGTAAAACTGTCAGTACTCCAGTCGTTCTCTCGTAGTTCGTTTTGCTTAATCTCGTCAATAAGTCGTTTGTACGGTGCTGGTAACTGTTGGCTACCATTCAGTGGCGTTTGTTCTAAGTTTGTAAAGCAGCTTTCTAAAGTAAGTCGTTGATGTAGTCTGTAGAATACGTAATACATGTACGTATGTAGAATACGTAATACATGTCGCAATACGTAATACGGTGTCGGGATCCAAGGATATTTGTGTGAGTTTCTGGAGTAACGTCCGTTTGGGGTTATCTCCGGCCCTTATAAAAACTGGTATTTTTAAGTAGTTCTATTTAGAACAACATTACCAAGAGTTAGGTGATAGACACTCAGTCAAAAAATTCTTAGTGCAATCACTTCAACTAATGCTATAACAAAGCAAAAACAAGCAAGACTTATAGGGTCGGTTATTTAAACGAAATCTAAGTTAGACCGCGGTTTAAGAAACCTTCGGACCTCCAGATCTCTTCTTCCTTGGGTTATTTTAAGAGGACAAACGCTTTTCTAGTCTACACTATATGCTTTCATGACACTGTTCGCAATAAATGGTGTTTACATAAAGCGTTCGGCAAACTGGCACTGGTTAAACTCAGTTTAAATAACTGGCCCATGGTGTTTTATAACATAACAAAAGTAAATCGCGCGCTCTGATTGGTCAGTTAGCCACTACCATTTGCCCGTGGGTGCGCGCCAAGAAACTGAGCTAGCGCGGTAAAATTTAGGCAAATTCAACACATCTCCTCTCCTGACGGGTAAAATACACCTATGAAATGCACAGATGAAAAGTGGAAGTTGAATAAAATACTAAGCTGTCGTTTTGAAGGAAAAAAGACAAAAGATCAAGCGACAAATTTGCCCTGAATGAATTAATCACTGTTCTCCTCGCGGCTAGAATCGGCTGAAGGATAATCGAGCGAGCGAAGATTTTAGGTACATTTTGTGTGTTTTTTATAGAAGAGAAAGTCTGTTTGAAATGTAAATTTAGCAGTTAGCACTTGGACTGAAATGTTAGCTAAACTATTACCACAATTGATAAGTGTAGGATACCAGTCCGTGGAGTGAAGCACTACTCAGCATCCTTTCTTTTGACCCCTGTTTTCTTAAACATTGGCTGATGGACAAAAGCCACCCCCTCGGACCCCTCCCTCCCTCCTTCTTACCTGCGAGGTTGATCAGTGTGGGATACCAGTCTGTGGAGTGAAGCAATTCTTTACTTTTCACGCCTGTTTTCTTCAGCATTGGCCCATGGACAAATGCCACCCCTCGTACTCCTCCCTCCCAGAGAGTGTCCTTCTGTCCACGCAAAGGCCAGTTATAACCTCCTGACTCAGGACGCCCTCCATTATCAGTGGTGAAGATGAACAAAGTGTTGTCCCAAAGGCTGTAGTGAAATGATAATTGATAATGATATCATGTATTTATTTTCTGCCTTCGCTAGTGGTACCACAGGCGCCCAGACGTAGTATGTGTCACTGAATGAATATATTAATATTCACATGGACAAATTAATGCGATGAGTCGTCGAAACTCCCATGAACTAAAATAGTCCAAAAGTCAAAATATAACAAAACAAAGCTAAGATACCTTCAACTGAACGTATCCTTGTCTTTCCTGGCCGGTTTAAGTGGCATTTTGTTGAGTTTTGCAAACTACCAGGTTTAATACGCAACGTGAATATTTAAGCTTAGCGACCGCGTTCGCGCAACAATGCAGCACTTGGACTATTTTAGTTCATGGGAGTTTCGACGACTCATCGCATTAATTAATTTGTCCATGTGAATATTAACATATTAATTCAGCTACACATACTAGGTCTGGGCCGCCTCTGGTAGTACAGTGCCTATCAATTACGTAGCACACCTTCTGTGAATATGTAGAGTATACCGTCGACGATGGCCAGGATAACTGACAATTACTTCAACATTTTCGCAAAACGTTTCAGTTTTGGGTCATCAAAAATAGAATATAAAGATACTGGACCGTCTGAGTCAAATGGTGTTTCATTTAAGCAATAGAAAACGTTTTCCGTGTTTGCATAGCCTGATATAAACTCGAAAGGGGCTGGGAGAATTCGAGACAGCAACGCCTCGAGTATTTATATCAGGCTATGCAAACACAGGAAAAAAAGTTTTCTATTGCTTTTATAAAATAAATTTTCCGAGAAAAGACGCAAAACTCTTTTTATGGCACTGATTAAAAGAGAATTTCTTACCAGTCGCAAAGTCTTGTCCACGATGTCTTGCACGCGTAATCAGTTCTTGTTTTGCAAAAGGATGCTTTCCAAAATACGCGCTTTTCTCGCTTAAAATGACAGCTTAAGCGAAAAAAAATTGACACACTTTCTTTGTAACGATTTTCCAAGTTTCAACCGACGAAGGAATGGGTAAATAAAGTAAACTTGTCCAGTTTTGAACTTGAAAACTTTTTCAAATTCGTGCTTGCGTGATTAGCGCGCGAAAAGCAAAACATCTTGACGCCACAACCATGTTTACATACCCTCATGCAAACACTCCTCTCGGCCAATCAGAACGCACGTACTATCTTAGTTATTTTATAATTTGGTATAGTAAAGTTTTTAGGGTCTTGAAGTACAATACCGACGAGGTAAACCCCCACAATATATGCCGTAGAGAGGACTCATTTATACCACACAACCGGACTCTACGCCACCTTCTCTCTCGAAAGCAGTATGGACTGAATTGAAGTGCATCACAACCAGTAAGACCTCACTAGCCAAGATTCATAAGACTTCGGTTGTTTTAGCTTCCGTTTGCGGTTCGAATCACTGCTTACGCGATGCGGCAAACCGGCGCTCTACGAACTGAGCTGAAAATAAAGGAAACCAATGTATATTACCCTGCTTTTTCTAAGCTCCTTGTCACGTTACCAATAGCTTCATCGACAATATCCAGCATGGCTGCATACGTCCTCCTCGTCTTGTTTTCGATGAAGCTGTATTTGTCAATGTATTTTTGAGGTGCTTGAACCGGATCATGAACATTTTGAAACGGCAAGTACAGGAAGAGAGGCCTTGAAGAACTGTGCTCCTTGATAACTTGAACTGCTTGCTGTGTATTAGAATTAAGATATAAGAGATGTAAACGGCCTTGTCTTTACTTGCCACAGTTTGAATTGTGTACACTAAATTATATAGTAATTCGTAGCGGAAAATGAAGTGCATACTCCGTCTCAGGTCTAACCCTAGAGGACAAAAACAGTACGTTGTAGTAAACGTTACTATCAAATATTATTTCATATTGTGTTGTATAAATGTAAAGGCTGATTTACACTGAACAGTTCGTCCAGGCCCGATAAGCAAACATAAGCTTACGGTTAACAGAAAAACCGGCACAAATTTCAAGTAGGACTTCGATTTCCCTTTAGACCGAAAGAAAGTTGGCCGGCACCGAAGAGTATCGTTGATTATCGTTGATTATATTTACGAGCTGTTGGAGGGTTCGGTGATGTATAGATTTTGATTCATAACGTTCTTTTTTGCCTCTATTTTCCGTAAGATATTTACCTGGAAGGGAAATGTTTTTCGTTTTTGGTGTGTTAACTGAATTTTTTCATAACCCTCGGACGTACAAGGAGGGGCACCCCACCCCCCCCTGAGGTTTTTTGAAGTTTTTTCCTAAACGAGCAAACATCAGCACCTGCCGTTTTCAATAGCTATTGGTTTATCCCTCGCGCGCATTTTGAAACTGAAGTTTAGTGATGGTCTGTTACTATGGCTACCAGATACGACGTCATAAGTAGCAGGTGGTCAAGCCATTTTCGAGTGAAACTGCATGTTTTTCAAATTCTTTAAACAATAAAAGTAAAGCTAATTGTAGAAGAAATGATGCACAGTGTTTATTTAAGTGTTATTTTTCATGTCGAGCACGAAAAATTACCATTTATCGCGGTTTTAACCTAAATTCCAATTCTTTGTAAAATTCAAGATGGCAGTCAAGATGGCGACCATTGTTGGCGAAGTCACAGGCCTCCAGCAGCGCCACCACCCATAAAATATACCTCATCTCGTAGAGAAGATCAAAGGGTTTCCACTGAAGGCAAAATCGTCTCGAAATACTGCAACATATCACAAACTCTGGGGAGGGGTTCCATCAATCCCCCTTGTACCACGGTGGGGGTATGAATTTGCGTGTACGTCCGAGGGTTAACTCACCCATCCCCCTTTAATAAGATAGAAGGCTGTTTGTCATGTTATTGGTTTAAGGCTTAGTATTGCTTTTATTATGATTTAGTATATACACACTCAGTGATCTTGGTGATTCAAGCAATCTGATTGGTTCGCTATCTTGGACTATGACGTTATACTGACCGCGCTAGGCGGTGAATATAAAGCAAAACAAAATCGATGTCGTGAACTGGGTGTTTTGCCAAGTTTCAGAGTAAGAACTTTTTTAAAATACAAGAATATTCCAGGGTTGATGATTTTGAAGGTAAGAAAAGACTCCATGGTGTTTAAACAGCGTGATTTTATTGCGAAGTGATTTACTGAAGTTGACTTTCATACGCTCGAAGCAATTATGTTTTT